CGTTGTATTACCTTCATTTGGTGGCAAACAACATATTCTATTATTCATACTACTGGTCATTAGCTACTGTATCAAGTTAAAATTTGTACTCCTGACAGAAAGTCGTTCCTTATCTTCCCTCTGTACAAACTTCTGAGCAAATGTAATGGATGTTATGCCAGCTTACAACGAATGGGATGTTTCCCATTTGTAAAGCACTGCTAGGAGTGTAGCATTATCGAACCACCGTAACAAGTTTCAATCTTCCCATGTATTTGATGGTACTACTTTGTTTGTATGACCCCTGATGTCTGGTGGTTACTTTGGGAATATTTTTGACATTCTAGTTGTAGACTAGCTTTCGGGTTAAGCTCAGGCTTATTCCCTTTTTCCTTCTCAAGAATACATGCATTCAGCCCAACGTGATGCCTTCTTTCACCTGGTGGGGAAGTCTCGGGAAAATGCAATGACCTATATAAAAAATATGCTTGTAGGCATAAAAGTGGTTCAGTAAGGAATGGCTCATTGGTGCTCTTTTATGGTTCTGTTTTCTCACAGACTGTTACCATGTTTTGTTCATCCCTTAGACCATGCTGATGCGTAGCCGCATTTGTGTTACTGGGGTAGCAATCCACACTTAACTTAAGAGCTACAAAAATGACTGGTTAGTTATTTTTATTTGGATAGCTTACCTTTACTCCATGGTCTAGAAGGAACTGGACCGGCTCTTCGCTTTCCCGATGGCACAACCCATCGGAGTGCAGCGTGTAACTCTCTTTGACGGTGTAAGCTTTTAGGCACATGCCTTAAGAGAGGCTGTACTGTCTCCAAATCGCCCTGCAGAAGATTAAACCTTCGACAATGCATCGCAGACATTCCCGTGCTTCAGCCTCTTAAGAATGTACAAACCTGTGCCCATTGAGGGTCACGTTTTTACCTCAGATTAGCTCCTGCAAAATTTTGTACACCATCCTCAGCATATTACAGCAGAAGGCGTAAAAGATTCTGCTCGCATTACCTCGCGCCAAGTCGTCACACACTCAGTTGTCTTAGTAACAAGCACATACAACTCAACACATGCCGGTTGAGCATTCCAAGTTTGCAAAATACGCTTTCAAAGAACCTGGGAGTTGCATATGTGAACATGGAAAGTAGAATTAAAATTAGAAGTTTTGCCAATATTAAACAAAGCACCGATCATCCCTTCATTATTGGCCTTGGCGACCTGCATGAGTGACATGTAGCCTTTGATGCCATACTTCGCAAGATGCACTCTATTGGCTTTTAGCAGTTTCAGCACACTCACATTGCCTAACTTAAGAGCTAAAAAATGACTGGTTAATTATTTTTATTAATGTAGCTTACCTTTACTCCATGATCTAGAAGGAACTGGACCGACTCTTCGCTTTCCCGATGAAACAATCCGTCGGAGTGCAGCGTGTAGCTCTGACAGTGTAAGCCTTTAGGCACATGTCCCAAGAGAGGCTGTAACGTCTCAACGTTACTCCCTATCGCTGTGTTGCGTTAGTCTGTGAGGGCAGGCGGTAGGATAGACTGCACTGTGAACGAACGCGCCGCCGCACACCACGATCCTCTATCTCAATTCCCTTACTCAACTCCCGACTACCGACAAACTGTAGTAAGGGTTGATGTAATACCCAATAGTCCATTATCTGCCAGTCCTCGTCATGCGCAACATCAGTACGGGAGGTTTCAAAGCGGTATTTGCGTGCACTCGTTGAACCCATTACACGGGACAGATCGCATCTTCTCACCGTTCGCCATGCAATCTTTGAACGACAGCGTCTCGCAAAGCCATTCACCAAGCGCCTTTACTCAGTTCCATTAAACATCATCATTCTACCTCATCCGCATGTCAAGATTGCCAAAGTGAGTAGGAGACTGTGATCAGATCTTCAGACAAAATATGGTTACTCAAAAGAAGTGCCAAAAGTAAAAAAGGTGGTCCGATTTGTAATTGCAGCAAGACAAAGCAAAAGGAGGCCATAACATGCGTGACTAGAGTGAGCGAATAAGGGCATACACAGCTATAGCAGGGAATACCCTTCAGCACTGATGGGCAACGTCATATTCGCTCATCGAATTTGGAGGTAAAGAGAGATAAGTAGGTGGTGTGAACCGACAAACTGAATAACAATTTCGACAGAGAAAGTCCAAGTGAATAAGGTGAAGTATTTAAATAAAAAAATGAGTGAAGGACATACAAAAGAGCACTGTGGAATATCCCTCAGTACCCACTGATTTCGCAGAAGTGGCCGATGAGATTGGAGACGAGGCCGGAGAAGTGGGTGGAGGTAAGAGCGGCGTCGCATTTGCTCGCCGACTTCAAGCCTGTTCCCTCACTTAAAACGTGGAATTCGTCGTACTCACGCTCCGTTTCAAGTTTTCCGTCCATTCCGATGCCACCCGCGTAGCAACACGTCTTACCTCCACGCACTCTGCTATGTTTCCCATTCACCGTTAATAGCTTTGCCACCTGCCATTAAAACGATTTGCTTTCATTTCATTGGACGCTACCACGTGGTCTCTTGCCTCCAGGGCTGACCCCAATGTCTGTTCCGTCAACTCACTCCACTATTGCTCTTTCGCCGCATTTTCCATAATGCTGCAGATAAGCTTATTAAAGTCGAGTCACAGAAGCGCACATTGCATTGAACTACTTTTGTCCATCCGCCTCATATCTAGCAAATCGCCTTCTCAGCTATTTAGACAATTAATTTGCAGATGTGTGGCTGATTTTTTTTCGGCCATGTTATTTCAGCCGTGTACACGCCGCCCACTGTCAAGTTCCAGCCCACTCTTGATCGGTTTCGTTTTGTTAATCAAAAGCTTGACAATTGGGTGAGATTGATAAAGCCCGCTTAGTAGAAGGCCTGGATCTAAGTTGAATTAAGGATGTGGATGTCCCCTGATTCTGCTCTTCATACACATTGTAAACAAGCTTGCCGTTCTGTTATCATGAGAAGAGTAATACGCGTGTCGTGTCTTTTTGGAAAGTGCGATAGCAGAAACCACACCAATCAAAATGTGGGTGACAACACTCCTACTACAAAAGGCATTAGTGCCCCGATGTCACTATCCTCATCCCCATTCTGCTCAACATCATTACCATCAAACTTCATCCATTGATAAAGCATGGTAATCGCTCGAATTTTATCATTGATGAACAAAAGCGTGCAATGAGAAACGACCCTGAGAATGGTGTGACCTGAAGAAAGTGTAAACACCAGTCGGTTTACAAACCTGAGATGAGGGAACCGCCTCCAGTACAACCTAAAGATAGTCACGGTTCCATCATATGATATGATTGACTCACGCCTTACGCGTACAGCTGTTCGGTTTGACGTCGGTGTTGCATCAGGCGTCGGAATTACAACGATGGAGGCTTCATTCTTGTCGGCTAGATCTATTACCATTAGCTAGCCATTGATAAGCTAAACGACATTTTGAGCTGCCTCCATTGCTATACCTTTCAAGTATTCACATGAGCAGGACTTCTATTCGGGGCATTTTAAGGAAGGAAGTGCGGTAAGGCAGTTCGGAATTCGCTTCAAAGCAACGCATACTTCAAATGGCGAGTCGTATGTGGTTGGACATTGGCTAGGTGCTCGAACAAGCATTCTCGTTCCCGGTGTTACTAATATGACACATCGGAAATTGTTCCAACCGTAGGATGGGATCTCCACTTACACAATGGCAGTTTGCCACTAGCACAATTGTAGTTACTTGGAAATTCGCAGACATACCTTACTTTCTTCCACCTTCCTACCCCTTATCTAATCCTCCTCCTCCTCCTCCACATCATCGTCACCATTATTGTCACCATTTTTCGGCTCCAAAATTCACTTTGAATACTCTGTCGCACCTCACCTTTTAGCCAGTCTTCCTTCCTCAGCCCTCTCACCTTCAGTAGCAGGACCGACACTGCTGATGGCGGGAGTGACAGTGATGACAACGGAAGGAATGTCGAACCTATTAACCACCATGGTAGAATGGTGATCAAACAATCGGAGAGGCTACCCTCCACTACATCGCAGCTTGTCACTTTCATGCTGTGACCGCCAACATGTCTCTAAGCTAAATAATGACGCCCTCCTTCTCATCCTCAACCCCGACGACACAGGTATTCCATCAGTGAAAGAAAAGAGTCA